AAAGCAATACCAAACTGAGTAAGACTCAGAGTCTAAGTACAAAGGCTGAGATAGCAGAGATGAGTCGAGTACCATATGCTTCCGCAGTTGGCTCGATCATGTATTCTATGACTTGTACCCGCCCTGATGTGGCCTTTGCTTTGAGCATGGTCAGCAGATATCAAGGGAATCCTGCTAAAGCTCACTAGACTGCGGTAAAGAACATTCTTAATTACCTGCGAAGGACTAAGGACCGGGTCCTTACCCTCGATGGGAGTGATGACTTAAGAGTGACAGGGTATAGTGATGCCAGCTTTCAGACCGACAAAGATAATTTGCACTCTCAGTCGGGCTGGGTATTTACCCTGAATGGAGGAGCAATAACTTGGAAAAGTTCCAAGCAGAAGACTGTAGCTGATTCAACGTGCGAATCAAAGTACATAGTAGCAAGCGAAGCGTCGAAGGAGGCGATATGGCTAAAGAACTTCATCATAGACCTTGGAGTTATACCAGCTATAAAGGAGCCTATGGAGATTTTCTGTGACAACAAGAGTGCGGTCGCCTTAACCAAGGAACCAAGGGATCATGGCAGATGCAGGAACATCAACAGAAAATATCACTTCATAAGACATCAGGTAGAAGAAGGACTCCTCATAGTAAAGAGGGTATCGTCAAAGGAGAACCCAGCAGATCCCCTTACAAAGGGACTGAGTAGGGATAAGCACTTGCAGCATGCGAGGAGCATTGGGATGAAGACCGGTATTAATTTTAATAATTAGATAGCTGTTTAGAAACATGTAATAGATAAAATGTAATTAACATTTGATGGTTAAATAAAAGGAGTTTTATTTATGAGTAAAGTTAATATCTTATGTCAATTGTTTATTATTTTTTCATTTTGCATGTTTTGACTTCCAGAATAATAAGATTATTCAAACTGTCCACAGTTGATCATACTTTGGAAGTAGGTATTGAGGCAAGACTGTCATAAATTTGGCTTGTAGATTGTCTAAAGTGTTTAAACATAGCAAAAGTTTGCTACAATATTCATGAGTGCTCCTGAAATAAGATTTGAGTATTGGATTAAACCAATGCTCACATTAATCACTTCATGGAATTTATCACGAGTGATTGTGAGACGATAATATTGTATAAGTCTTCAAACCAAGATATATGAGTTGTTGACTACAAGTTGGTTGTGCATTGATAGTACGAAAACGCATCAGTAACTTGATGGTATAAAACGTGTTATTGTGTATGATTTAACGAGTAGTTAGTACAAGCATATAAGTTGATGTTTATCTGTTCCTTTTAATCCTTGGAGGATTGAAAGTGATATCTTGGGCCCTTCGATGATTTTGTCTTGACTTATGTGTCGGGCCCGGTCGGGACTCAATTGATAGTTTCAGTTAAGTTCTATGTCAAACAAATCGGAAATCGGGAAACAAACTGTTGGACAATAAGTATGACTATGTTCCATGTATTTGTCCACATGATATATTGAAGAACAGAGGATTGTATGATCCCTTATCTAAAGGACGCATCAGAGTTCGACAGCGGCTTTTGAGAGCTACGATTGCTAATCCGTTTTACTTACAGTTATAGTTACTAGGCTTATCCAAGTGGGAGACTGTTGGATTAGGTGTCTAAGTCCATAACTATAATAGGTATGTACTTAACCTGATAGTAGCATGGTCCTTTTGGGTTGCCTTCACCAGAACAATATGATAGGATAGATATTTGAGAAAGAGGTTATTTGTGATTTATTAATATATTATAAGTATAATATATTAATGGAGAAATCATATTATTTAATTATTATTGAGCAATAATTAATTTGGAATTAATTTAGTGATCAGAAGAGACTAATTAAATTAACAGGGACTAATTATGTAAATTAGTGATACATATGGTTTGGGCTATTGATCCATGATGGACTAATTTTATGTGAGAGTCCATGAAGAGTTAGTCCATATGGGTTATTGGATCATAAGCCTAACTGTAAGAATTAGTGTTACATATGACTCTTGGAATTCTACACTCTATATATGTAACCCCTTGACCAAAATCGGACACACAATTATTTTAGCAAGAGTATAGCCGATTTTTGGTGCCTAGAAGCTCTCTCTCAAGTCCTCCAATTGTTGGTGGTGTTTGTGACTTATTAGAGGCATCACACATGAGGTGCTAAGCTCTTGAAAGGCCAAGTTCAACAAGCTACAAGAAGAGGTAATCTTCTAACTAGTTTTTATGATTCATATATCATGTTGTATGCTAGATAGGCTTCATTCTTTGGAAAAATGTAATTTGCATGTATAACTAGAGAAAACTTAGATCCAAAGCATTAGGGTTGTATGTGCACCATAGGGATGTTATAGTGCTCAAAATCCATCAGGTTTGTGGAGTGGTGCTTGACTTGCAGGAAAGTCAAGGCCGAGCATCAGCGACCTCACGACAAGATGCAGCCGTTGGAGATTCCCGTATGGAAATGGGAAGATATCACAATCGATTTTATCATAAAGCTTCCTAAGACAGCGCGCGGAGTGGATTCCATTTGGGTCATCGTGGATCGATTGACCAAGAGCGCGCACTTCATTCCGATCCAGGAGAGTATTTCTGCTGAGAAGCTAGCCGAGATTTATGTTCGTGAGGTGGTGGCACGTCATGAGGTGCCGGTGTCGGTGGTCTCCGACCGGGATGTTCGCTTTACTTCCAAGTTTTGGAAGCGGTTCCATGACAAGTTGGGCACTCGTCTCCATTTCAGTATAGCTTTTCATCCGCAAACCGATGGGCAGAGTGAGCGGACGATTCAAACTCTTGAGGATATGTTGCGTGCGTATTAGATTTTGGTGGGAGTTGGGATACGTATCTTCCGTTAGCAGAATTTTCGTATAACAACAGCTATCACGCTAGCATTGATCGACCTCCTTTTGAGATGCTCTATGGGAGGAAATGTAGGACCCCGATTTGTTAGGGCGAGGCCGATCAGCGAGTCATGGGGAGTACCGAGGTGGTACTCAAGACTACCGAGATGATCCAGCAGGTTCGGAGCAGGCTACAGGCAGCTCAAAGTCGGAAGAAGAGCTATGCCGACAAGCTCCGCTCAGATTTGGAGTTCCATGTGGGAGATATGGTTCTCCTGAAAATGTCATCTTTGAAAGGTGTCATCTGATTCAGGAAGCAGGGCAATTTGGGCCCCAGATATATCGGTCCCTTCAGGGTTTTGGCTCGGGTGGGCCGGATTACCTATCGTCTAGATCTTCCAGCCGAACTTAGCTAGATTCATAGCACATTCCATGTCTCTCAGCTGTGGAAGATTTTGGTGGATGATTTCGCAGTTGTACCCTTGGACGATATTCAGGTGGATAACCGCCTGAATTATGTTGAGAAGCCAGTGGCAATATTAGATCGGAAGACAAAAACCTTGAGGAACAAGGTCGTGGAGCTAGTGAAGGTGTAGTGGCTGCATCGCAAGGGATCGGAGTGGAATTAGGAGCCCAAGGAGGAGATGAGGGAGCATTATCCGGGATTGTTCGAGATAGCGGACTTCGAGGACAAAGTCTGATTCAAGTGGGGGAGAACTGTAACGCCTTGTTCCTGGTATAATTTTATTTCAATTTATTTGCATTTTTCCTGGAGGACTCGTCGAGTTGGAAGCCTCAACTAGACGTGTTAAAGTTGTTTTAGTCGCGAAGTTTAATGAGTCAACTAGCCGAGTTGAGGTGCCTCAAATCGATGAGTTGGAAGCAGGGGAGGAAACCCTAATTTTAGGGTTTTACACCCTATTTAAACACCTTAAGTCCCAGGTGTTGGCCTCATTTCCAGCCTCCATAGCATTTAACCCTAATCTTGAAACCCTAGCACCCCCTTTGAGTGTTGTGAGTGTGTTTGAAGCTCTTGGAGGGAAGAGAAGCTTGGTGCAAGGTGGTGGTTCAAGAAGCAGCTCTTAGATCTTGATTCTTTGCACCATTTCCAACATAGTTTGGGTATAAAGTTCTAACATTGCTTCATATTTCAATAGATCTTTTTTGGGTTGGTTTAGATGCTTTTACTCATGTTTGGCTGGTTGATGGGGCTGTAGGACGTCCCAAGTGCTATTCTTTCTGATCTATGATCCCAATGAGCTCTTTTGGCATAAAGGTGCCAACTTTATGGTCTTAAGGGCTCCATGCATTCATTAAGTCCATCTTATGGCTTCTTTTGAGCATTTGAGCTTCTTTTAAGCATGCTTGAAGGTAAAGTTGAAAACTTTACGTGGTCTTTCAGCTTTTAGGGCAAGATCTATAGTTTGGAGTTATGCCTTTGGTGATTTAGTGCTTATTGATTAAGTCCTTACCCTTTTATGCCTAGGGTTTGGGTTTTGATCCCAATTTGGTGGTTCTTAGGGGTAAAGTTGGAAAATTTTCCCTTCTTGAGGTTATTTCAGTTAAGATCTGAGTCATGAAGCTCTTAGTTTCGTTAAGGATGGCTTAACGGATTAAGATGTTGAATTTCCGGTGAACTCGACGAGTTTATGGAGGAACTCGGCGAGTTGGATCGATTTCTCCTGACTTTACAGACTGATGGATAAACTCGGCGTGTTTATGGATGAACTCGGCGAGTTGGGGTCATCTCGGATTGTTGACTTTAACTTTGACTTTCGTCTTTGACCAAGTTTGACCTATAAGGGGTTTCTGTACATTTTGTGCTGAACTTAAGGAAATCTTTTATGTTTAAGGGTTGAGTAGAGTCGATATTCGGAGTAGGGATCCATTCAGCTGCCTTTCTGTATTTGAGGTGAGTTTCCTTACCGGGTTTAGCGGGTCGAAGGCACCAAGGACAGCCCATGATTATATTATGTTGTTAGTATGCTAGTTGTCTTTGTGACTCTTGCATGTTCTTGTGTTATATGTCTTTGTGACCATTGAGATTTTGTTATGATGTTTTACTCTGATTTATGACAAATTTATACATTGGTTTATTTCAAATGTTTGGATGTTATGAGGAAATACTATTTTATCTATTATTAAATTGAAATTTTTTGGACCATATTTTTGGATGTTTCACTACCACACCTCCACCTAACCATTATCATCCCTGTTACTTCCATCTTTCTCTCGTGGTCTTTCTTACTCGGCCAACATTCGATTCAAAATATTGTGGCTAGCCTAGCAACTACATTATAAAACTTTCCCCTTGGTTTCAACGGAGCCTTCCTATCATACATAACTTTAGTAACCATCCCCACTTTAACCAACTTACCTTTATATGATATGTGACATCTACCTCCATACCCCATCCCTTATGTTTCATTGCCCCTAAATAGTTGGAGTTTTCCATATGGAGAAGATCTTGTTTCCTTATGCTTATCTTTATTCCTTCATTATTTGTCTCCCCACTAAAATTGCACAAATGGTACTTTATTTTAAGCGCGTTGGTATGTAACCCTTTCTCTTCTAGAAATGCCCTCCATGTTTCCAACAAAGCATTCAACTCTCTTCTAGTTTCACCTACCTACACTATGTCATCGGAAAAAAAAGCATATACCAAGGAACTTCCCCTTGGATTTCACATGAAATATCATCCATGATTAAGGTAAAGATATACTGATATAAACCAAAATTATAAGTACCTTTAATTTACAGAATTACTTATAACAATAAAGATTACATATACAACGAAACATGAATAAAATATTCAAAACACAATCTATATAATCCAATAATCCAATAATTACAAATTAACATATCTACCTTATAATATTTTATGAAGCCACACCTAACATTTGCTTATTTTTGTTGTCCTTGTGTACTTTTTTGTGTGGGGAACTATCATGCTTTTTTTTGTTTACATACAAAGGTAACAATCGTACAAAGTAAAAGAAAGTTTTATTTTTCTCTAACAACATTGTATGGTGTAGAAAATTACATAAGGACTTAGGCACAAAGATAAAATGATAGTCGATCGAACAAGTTGATATAGAACATCATTTAAGAGTTGGGAATGTGGGTGCCAACATAACCCAAACCAGTTACAACAAAAGCTATAGCTTGTAGATACAAGTAAATGTAGTAGTAATACTTTCCATATGCAAGATCATAGCAACCAGAGATGAATAGGATAATGCCCATGCAAAACTCTAGCATAAGAAGCCTATAGGAATATTCAAAATATATATTTTGTTAGATATTTATGTATATTTCTATACTTAAGGTAATCTTTATAGATTTTATTATAACTTATTTTAAGTAAATAATTGTGTCTTAGATATAATTTTTCTCTCTTCCTTAGCCTCCTTTTGAATCGGCACAAAATCATACACTGTTGGATTTTAATACATATAATCCTTCTTTAGTTTAATTTTCTATATTAAGTATAATGCTCTTAAGAATCTGTACCTATCGCTTAGTTTCAGTCCAAGTCTTCGTTGGTGTGTGATCGCACTTTTAGCCTTGGAAGCATCTCCATGCTTTTCAGTGACAACCCATTCATTCACTCTTTGAGTCTCAAAAAGTCCGATAAATGTAGCCTTAGTTCTATGGAGGGCCATTACATTCTCAAAGACGACCCAGAATACAACCAGATAAAATGACCTACAAAGTGAAAATGAAAATGACAGTAAGAACAAACTTTTATTTCCTAGCAAAGAGAATATGAATTAGAGAGCAAAAACCTTGGAGTTGCCACAGCATTGAGAATGGTGATAACTGTAGGGATGTAAACTGTAGCCCATATTGGAACCTCGACTTCTGGTATCCACACACTTGCAGGGATTACAACACAATACAACACGAACGTACCAATATGAGCTACGATCTTTCTTACGAAGAAGAAACTATATATCACATGTAGCTTTTTCCACAATGCAACTTTCTAGATTAAAAAGTAAAAGATTCACATAGAGTCTTGAAACTAAAGGAAAGCGATATAATGATCTTACCTTATTCATCATGATCTCATAAATCATTTTCCTGAAAAGGTTTGCTGGACCACAAGACCAACGATGTTGTTGGAATCGATAGGCTTTGAATACACTTGGTAATTCGTTCTTGACCTATATAAAACATAACGATGTGAAGTGAGGTTATTTTTATGAAGAAAGTTTATTACATGTTCGAATCTTTCTTTACCTTTATTAAACCAAGGTACAAGAACTTCCAACCTTTAAGACTAGCTCTAACTGCTAGATCCATATCTTCCACTGTGGTACGATCCTTCCATCCCCCGGCCTCATTAAGCGCAGCCATTCGCCAAACTCCAGCAGTCCCTACAAACACATAGAAGTTCACACATGGTTTTAAAACTATATAGAGATGGTGATTTATAACCCTAAAATACAATTTTGATTACCATTGAAGCCAAAGAATGCATGAGTAGATGAACCAAATTCTTGTTCAACTTTGAAGTGGTAGTTAAGTGACATCTCTTGCATCCTTGTCATTAAGCATTCATCTGAGTTTGCTACATTAATATCATCACACCGTAAAACATGTTAGTTTATATTTGTTTGTATTACTTTCTTTTATCTGTTATGACTTGCGTAAGCTATAAAACTTTAACCGTTATATTTTTCTATACAAGGGTAATTAAATTTTATTTTGTTGTTAAGCTCTGAAGTATAACAATGTATTACAACACGTTAATTAAAAAAATTAACTATATATTAGAAGATGTTAACCATATATTACAACATGTTAATTAAGGGAAGAAAAAAAGAACCTACAAAAGATTTTGTTCATACGAATAACGAACGAACGGAATAGTTAGTTACAAAACTCTTGCATCCATCTAGTGATCACATGTTAAAGTTTAAGGTTATCACTAGTGTTTCCACCAAACGAACCCTAGACAAAATATATAGTTACTAATCACATGTTTAGTGGACTTTAGAAATATCAAGTCTTCATAATTCTTAGCATCATTATCGGAATTTGAAAATTAAGGAACTGAAACTAATAAAATATTTGAAACGCAAATGTATGGAAATAAAAATAACCAATA